ATCAAGCTGTCTCGAATCTGTGAAATCATAACTGTGACTTATATCGACGTCCTATCTGTCTCTTTTCTTCGTTATCACCAGGCTGAGTCACGTAATTGTAAAATGGGAACTCTACGACGGAAAAGTGACGAATCGAAAGTATCGTGAGCGCGTATTATGATGTATGCACAGGCATACATGGATTAGAGCGATAGAGGAAAGAGAAAGGGAAGAGCAAAGACTAGCGCTTAAAAAGAAGAATAGGCAGGGTCAGACCCTCAGATGTGCGAGGATTCTCCAACGATAGACGTGTACGTGTGCTGATCTTTGTAATTATAAATTGTGAATACATGTGACTAATATTTTCTTTTTTATTTTGTGCATGTTACAAGTTATAAATAAATATAAACAAACAACACTAACTCGATAACATTAAATCTAAATACCAAAATGATTAATTTACTGTGTTTTTGTTATTTATTACTCCTGTTTTTTAGGTATTAGGTATTTGGCCGAATAGTGATTAAATATTCGGTATTCGGCCGAATAGTGAAAAATAGGCCGAATACCGAATAGTAACCGAATATTCGTTACATCACTAATAAGAATGCTAATAAGTTGATGGAAACAATTATCTACATTTTTAATTTCATTTTAATATTTTATAATTCAGAACTTCAGTAACTTTAGAAAATATTTAATTGAAAAAAAATAAATAAATAAAGCACATGATACATACAGCTACAAGATTCTGTTTAACATCTTCAGTAAGCAAATGACTTTTCACAGACATCATTATGGCACTAAAATCAACAGCAGAAATATTTCCTTGTTGCTTGTTATCGTATGAACGAAATGCTTGCACTGCATGCTCCTCATGAAAATCCTGAAAAGTATATAAATGTAGATTTATGTGAGAATCAAGATTAAGGGGCTAATTTATTTTAGAGAAATTATCGTTAAAAAGAACGTTTTAGTTTAGAATAAAATAACATTTTATTTCTTGATAAAATTTTAAACAAAAAAGATGTAACATTCGTCATTCTCAGAGAGAAGGGAAGTTGAACTTCCTTTAGACAGCCAACTTGTATGATGAATCAGAGACAGTTTTGTACATATTAATAGCAACCCTACAAAAAGGGGACATTTTCCCACCATTCGATGTAGTTCTTTGAAGGAAGATTACCATACAAACTAAGAGCAGTTCCCTGAAGACAGAACATGCCACATGAAATTTGCACAATACCTTAGAAATGACAGCCACATAAGTAGTCAGCAATATTTTATAATGCACATATAGAAGTTACATTCAAGATTCACATTTTCATCTCAATCTCCTCCCACATATTGTACATCAACTGAAGACAAGAATAAACCACCTCTACGAAAGGTAGTATAAATGATAAAACTATGTAAACTCTCTCTCTCGCATCTAGATTAGATTAACACATAATTGATCTCTCAAAACATTGTATTTTCATTGTAATTGTTTTATTTACCTTTAAATATTGTTGTTTATATATTGGTCTAGTTAATTAGTTTCCACTCATGTAGAGAAGTAGACCCTCCTATGATCTTATGGACATTGTCAATTGTACTTCACATTTATTATCTATAATAGTTTACGTGTGTTAATCCATGATAAATAGATTAACTGGTGTCAGTCTTGACAAGATCTCGATTTTTCCAAATCGTGATATACAGTAGAGCGTCGATTTTCCGAAAGTCAATCATCCAAAACGTCAATCATCCGAAAGAATTCCAGTCGGCAAATTTAAATTTTTACCTGTGCTGTGGCGCTTCAATCTTTAGCTATGTCTTGGGCTACTCAAATATTTTACGTTTTTGATACTAAATTAACATCTGAAGTATATTTTTTTATTGTTTTTATATTTTTCAATATATTCATTTTGTTTGTACAAAATAAAAAATAATTTTTAACGATACAATAGTCTTTGTTAGGCTTAACATCGACGAAAATTCAACGCAAAGCGACACGCAATGGAGAAAAATTTCAACATCGGATATGTTAAACTATTTTTTCGTACATAAATTGGTTTTCTGAAATATCAGTTATACGAACAACCGCAGTCTCCAATTGATATGGAAAATCGACGCTCTACTGTATATCATCAAATCATGAAGATATATATATATCTTCATGATTTCAGAAAGATAGATATAGTTATAAATAAATAAATAATATATATATATATATATATATATTTTATTTATTTATAACTCAGAAAGCCATCCTTTGACGAGAGGGCTAGTCCAACCAACTAAATGCCGAGTAAGCTATAGAGAGTATTTTCAAGACCCTCTACCCCTGGCCAGAATCTCACATTTAAGATATATTAAAATTATTTTCAATTAACTAAAAACCAAGATTATATCCAAAGTACAATAAATTTTATTTTATAATTTATATAAAATTAGCAAGACTAGAATTGAAAAAAGAAACTCAATCTTCTTTACATTAATTATTTAAAAAATTGATTTACTGAATTTAATTTAAAAATCATATATGATAAATTTATCAATTTACTACAGAATAATCTCCGAATAGCAAACACCATCGGAACCAAGAAGTTTGTGTGCTATTTGGAGGTACATACTGGCAGCTATACTGTTCCTCAACCTGGATTATGAAAACATCAAATTTGCATTAGGAATGTGAATACACCACAATGTATTCATAGAATAGATAATTAAAAAATATATACAATATATTATTTATCTTTTCAGTTGTAAAAATCTGATTTTAATTGAATCTCGTTCGAATGTTGAGTTATGAAGACAAATTGCTATCCACTTCAAGGGTGGGAAATATATTTGGAATTGTTACTTTTATGTCATTTATGGTCTAAACGACTAATAAAACTCGATACAGGGATTTGTCTGCTTTGTAGTAATCAAGTAGGTATAACTTTGAACATTTTTGCTATTTTCAGTAATTGATTTATTAAAAATTATACTTTAGCTACCATAAAGCTATTAAAACGATTACAACTTCAGCATTTTTGGTGAAAGTTCAAAGGTCATGTTACAAAGATGTTTTGCTGACAACTTTTAAGTGTGGGAAGATATTCATTTATGACATCATTTATGATATTAAGTTTCTTTTTCATTACTACTATACTATAATTCTTGTCAAATGAATAAATAACTGAGGAAAAGTTTATACTTTTCATAAGCCTAATTTCAACAATATGACAGAAGTTTAATAATGTTAATATGTATATTCAAATAGTTTGCATATTCATATTTATATCACTCCTCTGTAAACATATGAAAACATAGGTATCCCTCACACAACATGTAACGTCTACAACACAGTTTTGCTGTTACACAGTTCGAAAATTGGGGGGTATCCTCCATACAACACTGTTTCAGTTTCACTCTAACTCGATTTGGGAAATCCTCTATACAAAATTTTATAATTTTTAAGTGTAAACTCTGTTCATTAAAACTGCTTTTCAGCATTAAAATTTTAATACTGAAAGACAGTTTTTATTTATTTAATGAACAATTATTGGTGTGAAGAGTATATTTTTATTTATGTAAACTCCTTTATTCAATATTTTTTTTTATTCAAATAAGCATGCATGTCATCTCAAATTTGCCCAAAGATTTTAGAATATTGAAATTTTCAATTTGTTCTGTGCCTATTGTCAGGTTTACTTTATTGAAAATTGATACTAGAATGTTTTCTTACTTGTCCTTAGCTTTCCTATCAACCAGATGTCATTGTTGTTGCTTCCAGATTTTAGCAATTAATTTAAGACTGTAACAGTGTTTTGTTTTTATAGATTAATCTTTGTAATTAGTAAAGTTTATTTAAACATTTTTAGGTGTTTTTAAACTTTTTTAAACTGAAGGTAAGATACAGTGGTATCTCAGTATTCAAATTGTTCTCAACTTGAAAAATTCAGAATTCCAACACAAATTCTAGAAAAAATTATTTAAAATAAAATTTTAAAAAAATCGCTCTGTATTTGACTGAACAAATGTAACCCTCTAGAACAAATTTTCAATTAATAACATATTTTTATTTTTTCATCCATAGACAATTATGATAAAAATAAAAAAATAAAATATTTTTCTGATATTTTTGATCAAGATCAACAAAAAAATCTCTGAAGACAACAATACTCGTAAAAAGAAAACACCCTCATTTAAATAAAATTAATATTAACATGTCATATAGTACTTTTAATTGTGATTGTTAGTTAATTATTGGTTGGAAATAAATTATCAATTGCTTTAATAAACATATTTCCTTTAGTAATGAAAAAAATAGTATACTTTTATTAACTTTTGGAACCTAACCCTATGTTTTGCACTAGTTCTTTGTTCAAATAGCACAGATTTGTATAATACAGCACTTTTTTGGAATGTAACTACCGTGCTATATGAAGGATACCTGTATTTGACATATTTGAAGCATTGGAAAGTTGTTTATTACTGTGGGTAAAAAAATGTGATTTAAGTGACTAAGAAAAGGCAAAAGAGATTCCTGGATAGTTGAAGATATTTCCCAAACTAAAATAATTTTTAAGATTAAATAGAAGTAAGTTAATAATAATCAAATTTTTGCAATGGAAAGGAAGTTCAATAAAAAAATCAAATTCTAATCAAAAAACAAAAGTGACTGCTTGACACCAAAAGCATATATTTCAATTGGCAATGAAAAATCAATGTTCTGAAAGGCAAATAACAACAACACTCTAAAAACCAATGACCAGTGTTTAAAGAAAAAAACAAAACAAAAATTCACAAATGTTTTTGAACGCCCAGAGTTCTTCAGGTGTTAAATAGATGTCTGTCAAAATATAAAAGCTTTGAACACTGTTCATAGGTTTGTAGTATATGTTGTTGACTACTCTCCGGTGTTGTGTGTTGTTTTACTATTTAGTAAATAACAGAACATTTGCACAGTTGTGTTTCAAAATCAATTATTCTTCATACTTTGTTGCAATCTGGAAAAGCTAAATTCAAAAGAATGAAAAGAAGACCTTACTTTAAAACAATTTTTGTTCTATGCTACTTCTGTTAAATTTTTCAATTATTCAATTTTTATTTTGTTCAATTTAGTTTGTGTAAACCTGAAGGTGGTCTTTAAAAATGACCAAAAACAATTATTATTAAAGATTTTTATGCTTTTTTAAAAGATTTAATGAGTTTGAATATCTACTAAAGCAGTTAATTATTTGGGATATACACAAACACACATATATACAGTGGGTGATTGGTTAACGAACATAATCCGTTCCAAGACTTTGTTCGCTATCCGAATTGTTCGTTAACTGATTATCGATTTACCATAGGTTTCTATGGGAATTTGATTAATTTGTTCTGGAGACTCCCAAAAAATAAAAAATATATACTTTCTTACTATGTTTATTCACATGTAATAATAAAAATACATATATACACGGTCTTGCATTTTTATTAGTCATGTTTTTTCTGTTTGTGGTGGTTAAAGAATCTCTCCAATGTCGATTGCTTTTCTGTCTTATTCATGATTTTTCACAAGTAATTAATAGCATTGTAATTGTAGATATCTATAGGCCTATTAACCTCAACTTGGTTTGGATGCCATTTTAAGACCGTTGTTCTGACATCTTCCTACTTCTTCAAAAGATCTTTAATAGCAGATATCGGCATAAATCCGCATTTTCAGAAGAAAACATAAAAGGATTGTTTCTATCAGAAATATAAAAGGCTGGAATTACAAGGGAGAGTTTCAAAGTTTGAGGGAATACTATCCGATTAGTATATACTGGGTTGAACGTCGATGTCAATGTCTCCCACGCTCTGAAAAGTTTCAAATTGTTGCCTGAAGACAAAGGAAGACCAATCGGTATTTGTTATTTAACGTCGCTTCTTCTTGTGCTTGTTCAGTGAAGTGTTCATTGTCCGATCATAAAAATCTTTTGTGAAAATGTTCGTTATCCAATTTGTTCATTAATCGATCACCCACTGTATATACAGTGTATATAAAACATGTACCATCTAGAGTAGAGAGTAGACTATTTTATAGACTATACTCAATATAAGTCATTTTTACTAAAAATATATGTATGTAATTTTCTTTACTTACATGAATTACTTGAGAAAATTCTGCATAACTCACAAATCGCTGTTTATCTTTCCCAAAATGCAACTTCATAAATTCACTATTAAAATTAAATGGAATCTTCTCATGGAGAAGAGTATGCTTGATCACATGTACAAATTCATCTGTTAAAAAATTCTTAATATTTTATCATCTTTGGAAAAAATATAAATAAATAATGATTATAATAATAAAAATATTTTTATACAATTTATCAAAACAACAAATTTTCAATATAAAATTGTTCTTTATTTCACTAAGAAATAAAAAACATTACAAAATAATAAAAACCAATATCATAAAATTAGCATTTATATTATATGTAAATACACAATATACAATAAAAATACTAATAAAACAACATTATATTTCAATTGTATTTTCAAGAACATTAAATTTGAATTTATAGTCATCAAAAATATAATAATAAAACATTTTATACAATAATACAAAACAATTTATTATTTGTATCTATTTTATATCTGGTTAGTAAATTATTTTTGTTCATTCAAATAAAGTAAGATATTTGGTTATATAAATTTTGAATAAAAGAGAACACATAATTGATATTAAATAAAAAGTCAAAATAAAACAATACAGAAAGTATATAATAAATTTTAATGGTAATTTGTATGAGTTATACAGCATAGTTCTTGAGAAAAACTTATTTTTAAAAAGTATTTCTTTAGTTAATTTTGTACATCCTAAATTTGCATATAACTCTTCAAAAATGCATTTATTTAGTACAAATTTTTAAACAATTGACATTTGCAGTTTATGTTTATCATCAAGATTTAGGTAATAACTTTGAAAATATAGAGATTATGCCCAGATTTTAATTGATTTTTCAAAAGTCAATAATAATAATAATAGACTCAAATAACACACTATTAAACTTACACTCACATCATACAGACATGACACAACATAAAAAGCACAGACACCATCAAGCAATCATGGGCTCGAAAGGCACTCCATGGCACTCCAGGCATCCTTATGATCTGGCCCAGGATTTTGTTGACAAAACTGTATCAAACAGCTGGTTAGATCGTGGATGCCTCTTTGGGGAGACAGAAGGATTCATGATTGCCATACAGGATCAGGTCATAAATACTAAAAACTACAGAAAACACATACTCAAAGATACAACACTCACAAATGACACATACGGAAAGTGTCACATCATGCCAGAAACTATACAACACATCACTTCTGGGTGCAAGCTCTTGGCACAGACAGATTATTTACACAGACATAATCAAGTAGCAAATATAATACACCAAGAGCTTGCAAAGAAACACAAATTGGTAGACATCCACCAACCATACTACAAGTATATTCCACAGACAGTATTGGAAAACAACACGCACAAAATGTACTACGACAGAGCCATAATCAGAGATAAAATAATTTACCACAACAGACCAGACATCACACTCATTGACAAACATAATAAAATCACATACATTATAGACATAGCCATTCCAAACACTCACAATGTACAAAACACATGCATTGAAAAAATTAGCAAGTACACAGAACTTGACAAGAAAATAAGGCATCTGTGGAGGATGGATAGGGTGCTTATTGTGCCTGTTGTTCTCTCCTGTACAGGTGTGATACCACACACACTACACAAAAGCCTGGGAACATTACAATTGAATAGAAATACATACATCACACTACAGAAGGCCACTATATTGAATACATGTCATATTGTTAGGAAATTCCTGAATACAGACACTGACACACTTATTTAATTTGTTTTGGTTGCTATGCCTTGACTCTGGTCCGGTATAGTACCGGTGTCAACCGAGTGTAACCCAATAAACATGTCATATTGTTAGGAAATTCCTGAATACAGACACTGACACACTTATTTAATTTGTTTTGGTTGCTATGCCTTGACTCTGGTCCGGCATAGTACACAGCCAACGGTGTAAACCGAGTATAACCCACTAAACCCAACATAATAATAATAAAAAAATTTTCTTACCATGTGTTATATAACCAGATCCATCCATATCAAATAATTGGAAGACAGTTCTGTAAAGGCCATCAGGCTTACAAAGAGTTCCTTCAAAAGCCTGAAACTCCATAAATGATATAAGGCTATTTTAAAAATAAAATAAATTTAAATAAATGGATAAATAAATAAATATCAATTATTATTTAATCCTCTGTACATAAATTACTGATTATAATTCATAGTTCTTATTGTTACGTCTCTATGTTACAATATTAAGAATTCAAAACTTTGAGTAATATTTATAATTCAACATATTTATTAGAAATTACAATCTGAAATAGTTATCAAAAAAAATAAATTTTCAGATTTTGATTTGTTATCTTACCATTATAAACATCTGAGATTTTGAGTAAAGGCACCATGTCTTTATTCAAAATAAATAGTGAAGTAATTCAATGTTTACTCTTTATTTTGAGTAGAGACATTTCAAACTTTCTCTAAAAATAAATTTTGTACTTATTAAACAGCATAATTATTTTCCAGTCACCTTCTGACAAGTAATTATCAATGGTAAGATTTCTAACATTAAAAATTCAGTATTAAAATATTAGATAATACAACTTTTGTATTTTACTACAAAAAATAATTTGACTGGTTACAATATAGATTTTTTTAAAAACAATAAGAAATTGAAAATTGCTAAAAAAAATTAAAAACAATTTATATGCTTACTTTTGAAATAATACTAATAAATCATAACAAATTACATTATAGATTAAATCAATAAAAATAATTTGTTTTAAAGTTATTTTTAAAATTAATGATAAAAACATTTGGAAACTCTTGCCTAATAATAAAATGTTGATAATATTTTATTACTACTATCATAATTAACAATTTATATATTAAAATTATAAAAATGTCTACATTTCTTTAAATTTAGTATTCCATCTAAAAAGTTACATTCATATATACTCAAAATCAGTTATATTAAAAAATAATCAATCCATTACATTGACTTTAGTTAAACTCTTTAAATAGAAATTGTTCTATGCACAAAAATCAATTATCAGTCATGCTATAGACAAATTTAAACAATATCAATAATATGGTGCAACAGCAGGAATCTGTTTTAGTTTCCTATTCTACTAATAAGGAGATGGCCAGATGTTCAGGTCTATGATTTGAATGAAACTTGGTGAGCATGTAGCCCTAAACACAAACAGATCGTTGTCCAAATAACAGGATCCACTTCTCAAGCTTTTCTGAAAAACAGGCCTCTGAAAATTAAGTGTTTAGTTTATTATAAGCCTTAGGAAGTATCACTTCTAGTAATTTCCATAGCTGAGTGGATAAGACACTAGGCACAAAAACTACACAATGTAGCTATTGCAATTTTGGTTTTTTTTAATGAATGAGAAAATTATTTTCTTATTTTATTGCCTCAGCATTATTACCAGTATTGTTATTCCTCATGTTTAAAGCTAATAAAATAAGAGATTAAAAATCATGACATCATTTTCTGTTTAGTAAAATGATATCTCTGTATTTAATGACATTCAAGATTTCTCTTGAATGTCATTAAATAAAATTTTTATTTCTTCATATTAATTTTCAGATCTGGTGGTATGGTTATAGTTGTAGTGTAACGAACATGAGCACATGAGGAAATTGTCCTTAACATTAACAATTTAAGAAAATGATGCTGACTATGCTACTCTATCTTCATATCAGATTTCTCTTTTTTGTCCATCAGCAGTAAAGTCTGAAGCTTATTTGCTTGTGTTGACATAGTATGTAATCATGAGTGAAAATATGTGAAAATAAATATGAAGAAATAAAAATTTTATTTAACAACATAAAAGAGTTAAATCATCAAAGACTTCATTTTGTTAAACAGGAATGATGTCATAATTTTTAATCTCTTGTTTTATAAACTTTAAACATGAGAAATAACAATAGTAATAATAATGCTAATGATAACATAAAATAAAAAAAATAATTTTATCACTCATTAAAATCAAAATTGCAATGGTCCAAACTTACATCATGTAGTTTCTGTGCCTAGCATCTTATCCACTCAGCTATAGAAATTGCTACAAGAAGTAAAGCTTCCGCCAAATACTTATAAGCTAAACACTCAATTTTCATAGACCTGTTTTTCAGAAATGCTCAATTAGTGGATTCTATTATTTGGATGAGGAGCTGTTTGTGTTTAGAGCTATGTGCTTACCAAGTTTCGTTCAAATCAGAGACCTGAATGTCTGGCTGTCTCCTTATAAGATAAAAAAAACTTAAATATGGTTAACAAAATAAAACTCAACTTAATATGTGTATGGCATTTCTTTTCAATTTTTTACATTATGTTTTAAGTTTTCAATATATTTATTTTATAAATGGTTCTAGTCTTAAAAACTAATATTACATTGTTCTTTTTTAAATCTTGAATTAATGTATGAATTTTAATCATTTCTTTACATTTTCATAAATAATTCATGTAGAACAAAATATCTTTACATTATCTGAAAAACTTAAACTTACCCATCTTTGCTTGTATCCAAAATATTACCTAACAACTTCACAGTTTTAGTATTGTAATTTGCATCTTGATAAATTCCCAAAAATTTACAAATAAAATCCTCAGGGGTCATAAAATATTCTCCATTCTTTTCAATACTAGCATACTAAAATATTTATAATAAAATTAATGTAAAATAATATGGTCTTTAAATGCTAAAATTGATTACAGTAATATATAAATTATTCAGAGAAGTGTGAAATTTAGAAACAGAAAATATTTGGAAAATAGATGAGTGTTTCTCACTTATAATGTAAAAAAACAAAAAAATGTAGTTCTCTATATTATACTGCAATTTTTTTTAACAAAATAGTGTAGATAATTAAAATAAATAATAATAATTAGTATTATTATTGTTATCATCATCATTATCTTTAAATACAATCATATTTATAACAATTTATGGGTTATGAAAAATAAAATAAGCAGAACTGGAATAAATTTAAACAGATGATTTTACATAGTGTAGCATTTTACCTATAATTAAATATACCATAATAATTTCATAAACCTCAAATAAACTGACATTGTATTAAATGTTATAAATTCTTTGCAATAATTAAATAATTACTGACAATTTTAAAATGCTTTAGATATTTGTTATTTACTATTATTATTTTTTATGCAAATACATATAAATTATTTAGAATAAATGTTCATTCCATAAGATATAACGGGTAATTTCATTTCTATCTTTGCACGTAATTAATTGATAATGATTTAATTTATTCTGATATCTATAAAATACAATAGTGAATATCTATCAGAATAAAAAAAATTCTAATCAATGATTTTATTTATTTTTAGTGTTATTTGTTTTGAACATTTTATATATTGATCAGAATATATATTATGCATTTTGAATTTATTAAATTTGATTTATTTGTAACATCTAGATGATGTTAAAACTAAAATAATTCAATGTTTTTTCTTCAGATTTAAACTAGTTCATATTTTATAAAAAGAAAAAAAAATCAAATGGCATTAATTCCTTCTAATAAAAAGAAAAAAAAAACTGAATTTAAAATTGTACCTTAAGAAATATTTCTCTCAATTTATCTGGATCTGCTCTTCTTACGTTGGATCCCTGCATTTGAAATAAACATTAATATTTTATATATGTCATTAATATTACAAATTTAAAAATTCTGATAATAAAATATAATTTATTTTATTTTATTTGCTAAATAACAAATAATATATATATTAAAAAAGTCCTCAATTAAATTAATAAATTATATTTATACCGATCATTAATCACAACTGATTTAAAAAAACTGACTTAAATGTCTTAAGAACATTTTATTTATCAAAATTGAATTTTTAATTATAAACTACTCATTAAAGTAAAAATTATTGTTTAAAATAATTAAGAGCAATTAAATTTATTTATGAACAACCATTTTTAATTAAAGATTTTTTTTTTAATTTTTAATATTTCTAAATTATATAGTTTTAATTCAGAAATAAATGAATAAAATTTCTTATTTATCTCTAAGATCTTATGAAAAGATATTTAAAATTTTTTCAGATTACATTCTAAGTTATTCAGCAATGAACAAAATAAAATTTGAAATTACTCAGATTTTCAAAATTTATTCTTAACACACACAATATAAATTACAAATTTTTCAATACAAGTTTAAAAATTTTTTAACTTGAAAAATGATATTGTTACTGGTAGAAAAATTTTTATTCAGCAAGAAATAAACTAGCAAAAGTTTGTTAATGCACAATCTATATGTGTCTTGAGAGACAATTCTAGGAAATTATTTTTTACATGTGACTGCTTATCACTTAATAACAAGGTCATCAGAAAATAAGCAGCTCTAGATCATGATCAGATTATGCAATATTGATTTTTCTAAAAAAAAAAAAAAAACCTAATCTAATACTTCAACAGGCAATGCAATCTTTAATCAAATATTTTTAGAAACTCAAATACTAATTTATTTTAAATTTACTTATTGATATTTCAAAATCATACAATTTAATGTTTTGAATGTTATAAACCTGAACCAAAGTTTTATAAATTAAGATTCTATATCTTATACAGATTAATGGTTATGAATGAGTCATGATTTCTATAAAATAATATAACACATAATAAAAGGTTTATTTCAAAAACTCATAAAAACATTTATAATAATAAGAAGAACAAAACTAAAATATTTTCTTTGAAATATTTCAAGTAAACTTTCCTAAAATTTCAGAATGAAAACATTAATATTCATATGATGAAATAATTCTCTTACAATCCTAAATTTTTTCTGAAAAAATCTATTTTTGTTGATGATAAAACTGTAGTCTATCTTACAATTGTGCTAAATAGGTTAAACATAATCTTTAAAAAAATATTTTAAAACTCAATTTTAAAAAATAAAAAAATAATCCTGTGACTTGTTTATAAAACAAAAAAATTCTGCAAAAGGTTAACAGGAATAAAAGGTAATGGGAAAAATCAAAATTAATATGGTATATGAACACATACAGGAGTAAAATACTTATAAATAATTATATTTATTTCTCAGTATTCATTTTCTATTAACATACATAAATTTTAATATTAAAGAATTTCTGCATAAAAGTAAAATTTCAATATTGATGTTAAAATCTAAACAGGATGTGAATTATTAGAGAAACTTAAAAATTTTTGTTTTCCCCTCTTCTAATAATTGGGAGTTTATATGCTACAAATATCAAAATTTCTGTAAATCTTTCATTTATAATTTATGAATACAACAAATAAATTATAAATAATAATTTTTGTAAATTGAAAATTAAACGAAATCATTTTTATACTCAAGAAGAAATCTTGTGTAAAATTTAGAAATATGTGTTAAACTATATTCTTTTCTGTTAAATATAGTACTTAATAATTAAAAAAAA